CACAACAGAACCGGAACACAATACAATGCTGAATAAAGTCCTAGTTTTTGTTATTTTTGGACCAAAATGTATTTTCGATGCTTCAAAACATTATTTTTGGGTGAACTAACCCTTTAAGACATTGTTCAGAAACCCTGATGTTTGTACACTGTTTCCAGACAGAGGCGGCATTGGAATGGAAGAACTCAAGAAGAGGAAAGCAGACGAGGAACTTCAGAATTACCGGAGAAAAGTGCAAATGAAACAACACGTGGAAAAGAAATCACTGGAGGATTTTAGGTATAAACCTGCTGATGATATCAAATCTTTTTGTTATGGAATTTTTTACTGATTTTATTAAGTAAATGTAAGAATAACTTTGTAATATTTCACTTACTGGACTGAAGCAGCTTCAGTTTACCTGATTATCCATACATCAGTTTTAGAAAAATCAAATACTTGATTTTTTGAGTGTCAAATACTTCATACTTCAAATTACTTCATCTCTCAATCATCACTATATTGGATTGCATTATGTTTTAAAAATACAAAGCTTTGATCATAAAACTAAGCATTTAAATATAATCTTACTAAGATATAGTGGCCTGGTTTCACAGACAGGGCTTAGATTAAGCCACGATTAGGCCTTAGTTCATTTAAGTAGCTTTTATTAACGTGCCTTAGAAATAAAAAACATTACTGGTGTGAATCTTTAGACAAAACAGTGGCACTGTTATTTTTTAAGGGTAACACTTTACAATAAGGTATATTAGTTAACATTAGTCACTAACAATACTAACGAAATAAGAATGAACAATACTTCTACAGCATTTATTAATATTAGTTCATATTAATTTCAACATTTACTAATACGTTATAAAAATCAAAGGTTAGTTAATGCGGTGTGTGAAATAACATGAACAAACAATGAAAAGCTGTATTTTTAACTAATATTAACAAAGATTAATAAATACAGTAACAAATGTATTGCTCATTGTGAGTTCATGTTAGTAAATACATTAACTAATGTTAACTAATGAACCTTATTGTAAAGTGTTACCATTTTAAGATATGATATGGAGTTGCTTTCAGTTATATCAGCTCAAACATGCGTTTTAATCTGGGACTAGTTTCAGCCTGGTCTGTGAAACAGATGTTAATTGGCAGATGATATTTATATGCATTTTATGTCAGTGGAAGATCTAATTGATTTAAATTACAAGCATAAGAATTTAATCTTACTTTTGGTCCATATAAACATCAGCATCTGCACCAAATTACATATTTGAGCCTCTGAATAAAACTGAGGTGTTTTTCCTCCATATTCTCACTATATCAGACTATGTTAGCATAAAAGTCTGATGTATCAAATATGATACTCAACAAAAAGCACATATGCAAACTTTTATTTGAGATTTGTTTTTTTGTTGTTTTTCTTTTAAAGGTGCTATCAGGCCCAAAAAAGGCCAAAACATAAATTATCACATTCATCTAATCTTTCCTAACGATCCGCTAGCTGGCCGCCCCATAAGCATGCCGTCCAAAAACCGTAGGCAGCCTAGGCTCTGAGATCTGCACACAAAAACAATGGGTTTCACCAACCACCAAAACCAAAATAAACAGTGTTCCAACCAATCACTGCATGGGTTCGTTGATAGACGCTGGCTTCTTCTTCAGCTCCGCCTTCGCTTGCAGCCGCGCACGAGCGCAAAACCTCACATCACACCCCCCCCGTCGGTGATTGGTTGGAACACTTTATTTTTGTTTTGAGTGGTTGGTGAACCCAATTGTTTATGTGTGCAGATCTCAGAGCCTAGGCTGCCTACAGAGACGCGGTTTTTGGGCGGCATGCTTATGGGGCGGCCAGCTAGCGGATCGTTAGGAAAGATTAGATGAATGCGATCATTTATGTTTCTGCCTTTTTTGGGCCTGAAATCGCTGATAGCACCTTTAAGTGTTCAATACAATAGATTTTTCTGGCTTTGTCTGGCTTTAATCTTCTTTGAGGTTGAGTAGCATTGAGTATTGTTCATCTTTATTACAGAGTGCGTATGAGAACCGAGAGAGAGGAGCGTCAAACGCAGAGCGACCTGTGGAAGAGCCAACGGGCCTGTGAACAGCTGGACAGCCAGAAGGTCATTCAGATAAACACTTGATCTTGAGGGTTGAATCTGAGTTTGAAAACGTGAATGAAGCTGAGGCTTTTCTGGATTTCAAGCTCGTGATTCACTCTCATCTGCTGTTGCGATTCTTCTTTCAGGGCATCACGGCTCCCAGAGACAGCTGGTACTGGCCTGAAGTAGCGAAAGACGAGGAGGAAGAGCTTCTGGAGGAAGAGGAAACTAAACCTGAGGGAAGTGATGATGAGGAGGAGGAGGAGGAGGAACTAACTGTGAGTTACACCTCAAACCGGTGTTTATGGCACTCTCATTGCTAATATGCTAGTTTGGGGGGGAAATGTTTATAATTTGTCTTACAATAACTTTGATAACAGGCTTGAATGTTTGAGCTTGATGAAAGAGATATTGAGAACATTTAATGAGATTATATGTTCTGTTATCTTTTGTTTTTACTACAATGAAGTGTGTGTGTGTATGGAAGCTTGTTTCCGCCACAGAATGAAAAATAAAAAAGGTAATTGTGACTTTTTATATCACAATTCTAACTTTTTTTCTCACAATTGCGAGTTTACTTCTCTTAATTCTGACTTTATTTCTCAGAATTGCGAGATATAAAGTCAGAATTGCGAGATATAAAGTCAGAATTGATTGATATAAAGTCGCAATTGCGTGATGTAAAGTCAGAATTGTGAGATATAAAATATTCTGAGGGGAAAAAGTTAGTCTTTTATTTTTCCTTAGAATTTGCCTGATAACTTGCAATTGCGAGTTTATATCTCCCAATTCTGAGAAAAGATGTCAGAGATATAAACTCGCAGTTTTGTGTTATAAAGTCAGAATTGCGAGATGTAAACTCGCAATTGTGAGAAAAAAGTCAGAATTGTGAATTAAAAAGCCTCAATTCTGTCTTTTTTTCTCGCAATTGCGACTTTATTTCTCAGAATTGCGACTTAATATCTCGCAATTGTGAGATAAAAAGTTGCAATTATTATATATATTTTTTAATTCAGTGGCGGAAACAATCTTCCATAGTGTGTGTGTATGTATGTATGAATGTATGTATGTAAAGGTGAAACTCGAAAATTTTTAATATCGTGCAAAAGTTTATGTATTTCAGTAATTCAAATTAAAAGGTGAAACTAATATATTTAGTATATATAACCATATACATATGGCAACATTTCTGTACTTAAAATCCTTTTTTTTTATTGATTTCATCTAATATTCTAATTTTCTGAGATTTTGAGTTTGGGGTTTTCATAAGCTCTAAGCCATAATCATCAAAATTATAACTTTTGCACGATATTTTATTTTTTTTATTTACAACTGTATGTATGTATATGTATGTGTGTGTATGTATGCATATATGTATTTATATAAACAGAATTCATTTTAAACTAGCTAATATTTAATGTGTTATTATTAATTTTAAGATATTTATAGATATTTAAGATTTAGAAAATAAGATAAAAAACTTGATATATCTAATAGTTCTCACTTTGTAGAACATTATTTTAAAAAGAAATTTGACACAAAATGTTATTATTTTGAAACACCCATCATGCTTTTGTTCTTCCTTTACAGCCGTTAGACAAGCTGCAGTTTCTCACCTCGTATTTGCGAGGAGTCCATTTTTACTGCATATGGTGTGGGACGGCGTATAATGGTGAGAAGTGTTCATATATAATGTCTGTTTGAGCTGATACATAAATTATGATTAAAACACTGAAATATTCTCTCCCAACAGATGAGGAGGATTTGAGCTCAAATTGTCCCGGAGACACGGCAGCGGATCATGATGACTAGAGCAACGATCGAGAACACTTAGTTTTATTTGCATAGCTGTGTTTAATATTTATGTTTACTTTTCATTTATTAAATGTTGCATTGATGTTTTGATTATAATTGTGTGTCCAGTTTTGTATAATTACTGATCTCTTCTTTATTTGTCCTGCATAACTGAATCTCAACCAATCACAAACATTTGTGCTTCCATATTTATTCAATTACTTTCTAATGCTCAGTGCATTGTGGGATGGACTGTGACAATCTGATATTTACAAATAAACAATAATTAATAGCTTTCTCCAGTTAGCCTAAAATAATATAACATAAGTTAAGCATAATTTAAATTACTGTAGTTTTTCCTTAGAATGTTTTTTCATGTGGTTGTCTGTTTAGATTTAATTAATAAGGTTGTATTAATTTGTCTTTTTCTGTTACATACCAAATTTCATACTCAGAAACATTTTATAATATTTTATGAAACCCAATGTAAAACAAGAAACAATTCTTATTATAAAATATTTTTTTTTTGTAACATGCTGCAACACGTATTTGAATTACTATGCCTGGTGATTTATTCTCTATGTACGTAATATAATATACATTTATATAACTGTACTTTAAAAGAATGTAATTTTTCAGGTAGGTGTGGCCTATCAACAGGCGTGGCTTTCGATTGGTCAATCCACTGTGTAGCGATGACGTTGAACACCGGAAATCGAAACTTAATCGAAGTACGACGAAGAAATTAAAGTATTCTTGTGAGCTGACTCTATTAGTACCGTGTAAACCTGATATGAGATCACGGTAACGAGTGTTTTTGTGTTCGTCCGGTGAAGATATGACATTCACGAGCTGATCACGGTAAACATTCAGTGAAGTTGTGTGGCTGTCTGCTTATGTAGTTATTTCTAACTGCAATATGGAGTCTATGTCAAGAAATTATATTTCTCTGCTGAATGAGTACCAGCAGAAGGCTCAATGCACCGTGGAGTATGAGGTGGGATCCACTGTGGGACCGAGCCACGACCCTACGTATGGAAATATTATTCATTCAATCAAAATACATACAGTTGAACTGAGTGAAGTCTGCCGAGGAACGGTTTCTGTGCTGTTTGTGCAAATGATATAAAGTCAATGACTATAAAGTTATAAATAATTTGTTTTTAATAAAATATTGTTATCAGATTCACTATGAGGGCTATTGTAAATGGTCAGCGGTTTCCTGATGGCACTGGGAAATCCAAGAAGGACGCAAAGCAAAGTGCTGCCAAGAACGCCCTTGATGCCCTCAGGAGCTCTCCCAATATTGAGTCTGTAAGTAAATATATGCCTATGTTATATAAGTAACACTCACACAAACACGTTGGGTTTTCATGTTTTATGGGCACTTTCCAATGATTTTTATACTGTAAAAATTATAATTTATATGTAATATATTAATATACACTCACCTAAAGGATTATTAGGAACACCATACTAATACTGTGTTTGACCCCCTTTCGCCTTCAGAACTGCCTTAATTCTACGTGGCATTGATTGAACAAGGTGCTGAAAGCATTCTTTAGAAATGTTGGCCCATATTGATAGGATAGCATCTTGCAGTTGATGGAGATTTGTGGGATGCACATCCAGGGCACGAATCTCCCGTTCCACCACATCCCAAAGATGCTCTATTGGGTTGAGATCTGGTGACTGTGGGGGCCATTTTAGTACAGTGAACTCATTGTCATGTTCAAGAAACCAATTTGAAATGATTCGAGCTTTGTGACATGGTGCATTATCCTGCTGGAAGTAGCCATCAGAGGATGGGTACATGGTAAATGGACTGTATTTAGATAGCGCTTTCACAGACCCAATGGCCAAAAAGCACCAAAGTGCTTTACATTTTGCCTCACATTCACCCATTCATTCATACACCGACGGCGGTGTCAGCCATGCAAGGCGCCATCCAGCTCGTCGGGAGAAGCTGGGGTTAGGTGTCTTGCTCATCTTGCTCGACACTTGGTCAGGTGGAACCGGGGATTGAACCACCAACCTGCTGGTTTGTAGACAACCTACATGAACCACTGAGCCACTGCCGCCCTGGATGGCCATAAAGGGATGGACATGGTCAGAAACAATTCTCAGGTATGCCGTGGCATTTAAACGATGCCCAATTGGCACTAAGGGGCCTAAAGTGTGCCAGGAAAACATCCCCCACACCATTACACCACCACCACCAGCCTGCACAGTGGTAACAAGGCATGATGGTTCCATGTTCTCATTCTGTTTACGCCAAATTCTGAATGTCTCAACAGAAATCGAGACTCATCAGACCAGGCAACATTTCTCCAGTCTTCAACTGTCCAATTTTGGTGAGCTCTTGCAAATTGTAGCCTCTTTTTCCTATTTGTAGTGGAGATGAGTGGTACCCGGTGGAGTCTTCTGCTGTTGTAGCCCATCCGCCTCAAGGTTGTGGATGTTGTGGCTTCACAAATGCTTTGCTGCATACCTCGGTTGTAACGAGTGGTTATTTCAGTCAAAGTTGCTCTTCTATCAGCTTGAATCAGTCGGCCCATTCTCCTCTGACCTCTGGCATCAACAAGGCATTTTCGCCCACAGGACTGCCGCATACTGGATGTTTTTCCCTTTTCACGCCATTCTTTGTAAACCCTAGAGATGGTTGTGCGTGAAAATCCCAGTAACTGAGCAGATTGTGAAATACTCAGACCGGCCCGTCTGGCACCAACAACCATGCCACGCTCAAAATTGCTTAAATCACCTTTCTTTCCCATTCTGACATTCAGTTTGGAGTTCAGGAGATTGTCTTGACCAGGACCACACCCCTAAATGCATTGAAGCAACTGCCATGTGATTGGTTGATTAGATAATTGCATTAATGAGAAATTGAACAGGTGTTCCTAATAATCCTTTAGGTGAGTGTATATTATTAAAGTATTAAACGTGTTTATGAAGAGCTATTCAAAATACAGAGGTGACACAACATCTGTCTACTTGGACTCTCTAAAAGCTGTAATTTATGAGTTTTGTTTGACATGTTATTTTGCATTTAAGGTCTTTGACAAGAACAGCAATAAAGCACAGGGGTCAGAGGTTGCAGCTTGTAGGTAAATAATGAACAATAATTATAATGTCAAACTTTTATCAGTGCTTCTCGACTGGTCTTTCTTCAGGACACAGACTTTACATCAGACGTCAAGTAGATCCAAATGACCCACCACAGATCTATGTATTTATATTAAGCCAATAATTCACATTATGTTCAACACAAGCCATGTTTATCCTCACTGCAAGTAAATCCTTTTTCAATACAAGCCACAGTCTAGATAGCTTGTTAGGACACTAGCACCGATGGTGCAAGGAGGACCGTATTGAAATTGCTCTGTTTATTCTTCTATGAGGTTAATCGCATTTTTGAGGGACTAAACATGCTTGAAAACTCTTGAAACTTTGCATGCGCGTGACGTCAAAAGTGATGGAAATTGACGTCTGATATGGGTTTCAGAATTCGGTGTGACAAAATGGCTCGATAGCGGTACCTACAATATTTCAACAATTGTAACATCCCAATACCTGCAAAAAAGTTTCTTGGAGCAAAACCCTAAACTGATTGGCACCGCTTTGTGCGGTTTCAGGAAATGTCCCGCCTCTCCATTACTGTGGGTTCTGCTCTAGTGTAAATATTAAGGTTATTTCAAACCAATTCGAGCCTAATTCAGACCCTGACAATGTTAACAAACAAGAGGATCCACCATTTAATAGTGATATTTGTCAGAAAACTAAGGTAAAACAAACAGTAATCAATCACAAAACCATGGTTAATTTTCCCTAAGGAGTGTTGAACCGTTTTACAAAAGCAACAGAAAACAAGATGTTCTCCATCCAGCTGTCTCTTTGACATAGCGACAACTCTGTCTTCTCTAATGCAGCTCAACCAGGTCTCGCCCCCTTTTTTGTGTATTCTGTGGGCAGGGATTATTTAAATGAGTACTATTGTGACGTCATAATATCCGTCGTAAAAATTGCGTTGTAGTCCAAACGAGACGTTCTTGAAAATAAGATTCTGTTAAATGGTTAAATCAATATCTCCCAGTTTGAAGTGAGCTTTGTAACCTTTCAGATCTTTTTTTATGCTCGAGCAGCAACATTACACACTAACTAAAGTTGGAAAATTGAAAAACCATAATAGGACCCCTTTAAAACTTCTTGCCGACAATCATTTTAACCATTAAGTGGCACAAGTGACAGCAGCACATTGAAAATATACATTACTTGGAAATAAATAAGTTGTACAATTTCAAAACAAAAGTGCCTCACGAAGTTCAGTGCAAGTAGTCCATCTGCCCCAAACTTCACACGTTTGATAAGAGTCCTGGCCTGACGACATCTACATGCCACCAGGTGGCGATAGCACCAGTGCTAAGGCAGTTCATCACTGCTTCCAGCTTTAATTTGATCTGATCTTGTAGTGTAGTTTTGTTCATGCATATCACACAACCTGTTTACGGTGGCGTAATTTGATGAGCTTCTTCTGACTGACATATTTACCAACCATTTTTGTTCTTTGAACACCCAGTTGGGAACCACTGATTTAATAAGCTCTTTTACTATATTTTCCACATGTTGATCTGTTTATTTTGATATCTTGTCCTTTATTTAAGTGCTAGCCTGAACAGTTTGAGTATTGCTGATGATTCCCAAAGCTCCATGCCTGACAACAACTACATTGCATATCTCAATGACTTCTGCCAGAAAAATAAACGTATTCTTGATTTCAAATTAGTGGAGAAAAGAGGCCTTCCTCACACCCCAGAGTAAGTCTTGCTCAGCCCGTCACAGTTCATATGTGTACGAGTTGAAAGCGTAAAACTGACATTAGTTTCTTCAGGTTTGTGTATAAAGTTGTCATAGACGGGAAGGAATATCCTGAAGGACAAGGAAAGAGCTCGAAAGAGGCGAAGCAACATGCAGCTCAGCGCGCTTGGAGTGAACTTCAGGATCAGTCTGGCTGGACCACACAGGCAGGACCCTTCAGAAGTTCAGCTATGTGTGTACTAGTCTATGTTAGTGTTGACTAATGCACATGCATGTTTTAATTAACAGAGTTCGGAAGATGACACCTCTTCACAAACCCAAGAGACTTCTCAAGTTTAAATGAATGAAACAACATTACGTTGTGCATATAATACATAATGTTATGAAATTGCAATGCAGTTGAATGTTCATGTGTTTTATAGTAAATCTGAGGATGCACGACTCTCATCAAACATCCCGTGTAAAACTCCCAGCTCCAGTGATTTATTCTTCAAAGACTCGTCTCCTGTCAGTTCTCCTATGGCCAAACGTCCTGTAAGTCCAGTCTGTGTTATTGGCAGCATTTGTATTTTTGACTAAAATATTCAAGCATTAATGTACGAGAGGCTATCAGTTTCATAAAACAAACATATTTTAATATTTTAACTTAGACTCTGAGCCCACTGGATGCGAGGCCGAAAATAAGGTAAGCTTTTACTATTTTAGATTTTACATGTTTATGAACATAACATTTTTTATCATTTATGTCACATATTACATATCACATATTCTTCTAGATTGGCAGCAAATTTTCATCAGTCACCAAACCGCCTTGCCCAGAGTAAAGAGGTATTGGAACATTAATAAGTTCAGCATAATATTAAGTGGAACAAAATGAAGTCATGTTTTTGAGATAAGTTACATTTCATGTAAGGAAGCTAAGTCTATGTGTGGTTTGAGTTGTGTATGTTTTGCTTCATTAAATGAGTATTCTCCATAAAGTAAAGGTTGTAAAATTTACAAGACTGTAAAATGAGGCTGATGTAAATTAACAGAAACCAGAAAAGCCACCTGGAGGTCAAACATCAAGCAAAGCTATAAAGTCAAGGTAAATCATAACCTTTTTTGGTAATGCTTTAGATTACAGCCCAGGAAAGTACTGCGTAATTAAAGCAATTTTACAGCGTAACCTTCGGTAATTATAGTGTACCTATAACGTACTTACAATATAAGTATAAGGGAACAATATTTTAAGTTTGGGGAATAAAGGGGTAACAACCAGGAGAATTAAAAAAATATTTATACTGTAAATATTATATAACTAAGGCGTTCTTCTTCTACTATTATGATACAACAATCTTACATTTAGGAGCAATTTAGCGAGAACACTGCGTACCTTTTTGAAATAATGGTGAACCGGTACATACTGTATAGGCTTTAAAAAAATTACAGGGTACATATCTATGCATTTATAAAGTAATCTTTTTAACAAAAGTGCACTGAAAACCAAAACTATTGCAACTTTTGCTTAAATATTGGGGAAAGATACTCTTGTGTCATGTAGTGGTGCTTGTTACCCTCTTCTTCCATGTAGTTACAGGGTAAGTACAATAAAAATACATACACAATCTTATATCACTGACTCGGAAACCTTTATTTATTTATTATACAAGCACCACTTACCCTGTAACCACATGAAACATCATATATTTCCCAGTATTTTAAAAAAAGGTACGCAGTGTATGTTCTCGCTAAATTGCTCCCAAATGTAAGATTGTTGTATCATAATAGTAGAATAAGAACCCCTTAGTTCAATAATACTTACAGTATTTTTTTTTTTTTTACCCCTTTATTCCCCAAACTTTACATATTGTTCCCTTATACTTACATGCAAGTACTTTAGGTGCACTATAATTACCGAAAGTTACTCTGTAAATTCCTCTTAATTACACAGTACTTTCTGGGCTGTAATCTAAAGCGTTACCTTTACAAATGTCTTTGTGCCAATTAGTATAGCTTTTTTCCCATTAGAAACCCATTGTTTTGAAGCCATTATGTTCTTCTCTGTAGGTTTTTAGAAGACTTTGACTTAATAAGTCCGCTTGGCAATGGTACATACGGCCGTGTTTTCAAGGCAAGACGAAAGCTGGAGAACAAATATTATGCTGTGAAGATAGTAAAGAGTCGAAAGTAAGTAAATTAAAATGTTTATTATCTTAATGTAATCTGATTGGCTGTGTGACACAGGCTTTTAATTTTTTGTATGCCTTTAATGTCCAAAAAAGACACAACAGCAATATCCCTTTATTTGTGTACTGCATCTACAGAATATAATGTGATGATATATATTGTATCTCCACAGAAAAGCTCGTCGTGAGGTTAATGCTTTGGCTCTTTTTAACAATGCCAACATTGTCCGCTACTACAGTGCTTGGAAAGAGGACACGGAATACAGACACGAGTCTTCAGAGAGCAACAGCTTTTCAGAGTAATTCAGCAAACATACAACTCATTCTAGAACACACAAGGGCCTGCATGACTGAAAGTGTTTCACTACTCGACACGTTACGCACTAATACGCTGATTTCACGCAGCCGCCATTTTGAAATCGAAAGCGGTGGGAAGAACCCCGGAAGTACAGATAAACAACAATGCCTTGGACTACCAACCTGAAGCTGCTGCCGCGATTTACACTATTGGTTGTTAATATCCGATATATAGTTCGTTCCTACTTCTTTTTTTTACTTTCTGAATTATACACTACCGTTCAAAAGTTTGGGGTCAGTGAGAATTTTATTTTTATTTTTTGGAGGAAAGAAATCAATACTTTTATTTATCAAGGACAGTAAAGACATTTATAATGTTACAAAAGATTCTATTTCACACAAATGCTGTTCTTTTGAACTTCCTATTCATCAAAGAATCCTAAAAACAAAACAAAAAAAACTGTACAACTGACAGAGCAACAACTATTTCAACATTGATAATAATAATAAATGTTTCTTGAGCATCAAATCCTCATATTATACTGATTTGTGAAGGATCATTTGACACTGAAGACACTGACACTGGTGATGCTGAAAATTCAGCTTTGATCACAGGAATAAATTACACTTTACTATATATTCACACAGAAAACAGCTGATTTACACTGGAATAATATTTAATACTATAACTGATTTTTGTTGTATTTTTAATCAAATAAGCGCAGCCGTGGTTAGCAGAAGAGAATTCTTTTAAAAGTATTTAAAATCGTACCGACCCCAAACTTTTGAACGGTAGTGTATATTTAAAAAATATATATTTATAAATGAATTTCACAGTATATAGTCTAATTTATGAAAGAAATGTATGTACATTTTTAGAATAACTTATTTCTACATTAAACACAACAATACGCCATCGCATTCGCGACTCTCCTGTGATTAAAGGTGATTCTGGTTTTCTTCCCACCGGAGCCTCGCTTTCGATTTCAAAATGGCGGCTGCGTGAAATCAGCGTTTAGCAAAACTAACTGACCAGGGGTGCGTTACCTGCATAATGTCGCAATTTCATCATTCTTGCATGTTGGTTAATGGAGTCATGGACGTGATGGAGTAATAACTTCTTTTAAATAATCCGTTTGAGATTGAATTAATGCTAGATTTTTTGCTATAAATTACAGACATGGCATCTAAGCACTATTTAAAAAATTTCTCAGTTATTTTGCTTTATTTCCAGATTCAATCATAGGCTCGTTCTTACGCACTAGAGCACATTCTCACATGCGCACTCTCCAAAAACAACACTTTAAATCTCTTGACAAACTAAAAAACGTAAATGACATTTGTATATATTCATAATAAAAGACACAGGTTGTACTGAATGTCAGCTTGCTTATTTTCCTCAAGATAAGGATTTATTAAAGGGATAGTTCACTTTGAAATACATTTTTGGTATGTTTTAGCTTACCTCAAGAGCATCCAAGATGTAGGTGTCTTTGTTTCCGCAGAAGTTTCAATTTTGATATTTTTAGGTCAAACCGTTCTTGTCTGTCAGTCATATAATGCAGGTCTATGGTCACCACCTCAAAGAGCATGCACAGAGAAGTCCAAATTAAACATGATTTAATGACTCGTAAATGTAAGTACACATTGATGGCCTAAGACACGAAACGAGCGGTTTGTGTGAGAAAACGAACAGTATTTATATCGTTTTTACCTCTTGTAAACACAGCCACGTCCAAGTGATCTGAGGGCGCCGGCGCTTCGGTCTGCGCAAGCGCCGGAAGTGATCTCTCGCGCGTGTACGTCACTCATTGTTTACACAGAGATTTGGAAGTGTTACCTTTCACTGTGAAGATCTAAACATATTTAGATATACAGGAAATCGCAATGGAAGACGATTTCGATATATCAACAGACAACGTTGATTTTTTTTTTTTTTTTTTTGGAAGAGATCACTTCTGCTTGCGCAGACCGAAGCGCCCGCGCCCTCAGATCACTTGGATGTGGCTACAAGAGGTAAAAACGATATAAATACTGTTCGTTTTCTCACACAAACCGCTCGTTTCGTGTCTTAGGCCATCAATGTGTACTTACATTTACGAGTCATTAAATCATGTTTAATTTGGACTTCTCTGTGCATGCTCTTTGAGGTGGTGACCATAGACCTGCATTATATGACTGACAGACAAGAACGGTTTGACCTAAAAATATCAAAATTTAAACTTCTGCGGAAACAAAGACACCTACATCTTGGATGCCCTTGAGGTAAGCTAAAACACACCAAAAATAAAAATAAAAATTCTTAATTTAATTTAATCAGTTTAAAGTTACAGGGACAATGCACATTAATACACGCTTACGTAAATGTGCCAGTTTAGCCATCTTGGCTAATTTTCAACTGTAGTCACTGGGCAGATGTAATGACCGATAAAATACATTCAGACAATCAATAATACTAATACATACATTAAAACACATTTCATAAAGTTCATAAAATACGTTAAACAAGGACAACAAATCAAAACATGATTCAAATGATTTAAAAAACTACAGAATATGGGTACACACTTGATTATCTTTTAACCATGATTTTAATTTAAACTTAAATAGCCCATATGAAACACAGTCTCTGATAGACGTAGGCAAACTGTTCCAAGTGTGAGCTGCTCTCACAGAAAAAGCTGACTGACCAAAGGCAGTTCTTCTCATTTGTATTGCACAGTCACCTCTTGTTACAGACCTTGTATGTCTAGTAACAGTAATCTTTTGTTTTATAAAAGCAGTTAGTATAGTGTCAGTCAGTTATTTCAAAGTGAACTATCCCTTAAAGTCCACATGTCATGTAAACTAGAAACTCTTAACCACAGGCCGAGAGCTGTCACTCCAAACACACAACTTTGTTGAATAGTCATACAGTCCCTATTTTTCAACTAACATTAACATGTACACTGATGAGCCAAAACATTATGCCCAGTCACAGGTGAAGTGAACATCTTTGATCATCTCCTAACAAGGCCACATATTAAGGTCTTGGTAGATTAGATGGTAAACAAACAATCAGTTCTCATAATCAACGTATTGGATGCAGAAGAAATGGGCAGGAATTAGGGGTGGGCGACTTTGACAAGGGCAAAATTATGGCAAGGCGACTGGGTCAGAGAATCTCTGAAACGCCAAGGCTTGTTGGCCAACAGTGTTGCGGATTTACCTACAGTGTCCG